CACCCAAACTATAATAGATAAAATTTAAAATATTAAGCTATTATCTTACAATATTTTTAATTAGAGACTATGTTGCAATTTAATTTTAGATTCTCTCATTCGAATTTGTGTATTTAAATTTAATAAAATTTTCAAATATTAATTTTAGTGATTTTTTATCAAATAATTATTTTGATCTAAAGTAATTATATAAAATTTTATTAATTTATCATACTTTAATACATGAATTTAATTAACATATCCATATATATTATAATAATATAATAAATATAATACTATAAAATAAACATGATAATGATGTCATAAAAACATTGATGTTACCAATTATAAACAAAACATTTTCCTACAATTACTAATTACGATATTATTTTAATTATAATAAATATAAATGATTACATTATATATATATATATATATATATATATTCCATTTAACGTACTGAACGTACCGTCTTAGTTTGAAACAACTTGAAAGAGATATAAAGAATATTTATTTACTCATTTTATCTTAAAAAATTCGTAACAGAAACTTTTAAAATAAAAGCAAGAAGAGAAATTGAAATTTATATCAAGAGACAGAAGGTGGCCACTGGACCCACTTTGTGGGCCCCACACATAGCCAGATTTCCAGCGACTTCTCCTCGTCGCAGCCACATCAGCAATCAGAGTGGGTCCCACATCTCCCCACCGTAGCCTGCAGAAGTCTCCTTTTCTGTCGCCACGTGTCCTCTTCGTCTCTCCTCATAAAAAGGCGCCATTTGCCTCCTCCATTTAAACCCTCTCTCAAAACCCTCACCGCTCCGTTACCCGGCCTCCTCTCCTCCACTCGCTCTTTCTCTCTACATTTCCTTCTCTGCAAAAGACTAAACAGTTTCTAACCCTAATTTCCTAAATTGATATACGCCTCACGACATCCAACCATGCTGCCTCACTCGTACACTGCAGATTCGCTCTCTCAATCACAGGACCTCACATCGATCATTCTTTCCTCTTCCACTCCACAGGAAATTTCCTCCGCATGCGCTTCCATTGAATCCTTCTTGCACTCTCACTCACCCGATCAATGTCGTCACTTCTTCTCCGTCACTTTCCCTCCTTTAATCTGCAAGCTCTTCGGCTTCAATGATGCTACCTCATCTCCCGCCAAACCCAAATCGCAGTTAGCCAACGGCTGGATTGACACGGTCCTCTTATCCGATGACGCAGACTTAGCTGCCAGAGTTTTCTCTCTGCTCTCCCCTGAAGGGACCTTGATGAGCACAATCTCCGCATTGGATAGCTTGTTTCTGGTCAAGTACGTGTTCCCCACTGAAAGGCTTCCCGAGTGGACCCGGTTCATGCTCTCAACGGATAAGGATTGCAGCATCTTATCCGTTATATGCTCATTGTTTAAAGGTAAAGTTGGAGAGGATTCTATTAATGGTTCATTCCGTCAAATCCACTTGAATGTTTTTGAGTATTACATGTTTTGGTTCGCCTATTACCCTGTTTGTAGAGGAAATAGGGAGAATTTGGTCTCCGTTTCCGTCAAGCGGAGCAAGAAATTCAGGTTAGAGAACTGGACATATTCTATTCGAGGCTCTTCAAGCGTTAATAAGCGGGAACCTGAACGGAAATTGGAGTGTAATCTATATATACGGCTTTTACTTGCATATCTCCGTTCATTTGTGCCTGTTTTAGATTTTCGTGTACATCAGTCGTATGGTTCGCTCTTGCACTACGCTAGTGGACATGATGGATCTATTATTTCGCGAGCAGAGTTTTTGGTCAATACATTTGTGCATTACTGGCTGGTTGATAATGATTTCTCACCATTGCCAGTTAATGTGTGCAAATCTTTTGGTGTCTCATTTCCCTCCCGATTAGTACTGGGGGAGACCATCCCCACTAGTGGGTTAGGAGAGGCGGTGAAGTTGTTTGTGGAATATCTTAATTTGAGCTTGATGCAGAGCTGATGGGTTTGAAATAATGT